GATGACAGAGCATGGTGACAACAGAAGGGGACACCAGAGGTACATTTTTGTGATACATTAACTGTACTAAGTCAATATTTCCATTGACTAAAATGCATCAGTAGATAAATGCTTTACTATCAGCTAATTTTAAAATTTAGCTGGTCGTAATATCTTTTTTGTTAGGTGGTGGGCATCGTTTCTTTTCTATTCATGATTTGCATTTATTTGATGGATTATTGTCTTTGTATAGCTGATGATGGGGGAATTTGAAAATATGTTGGTTAAGACGGCTTTTTGGCACTGAATATGCAATATTTTTCTGGGTCTTTTCTTTGTTTCTTGAATTTTTACTTGAAAAGCAAAATATTACAGAAACAAATGCTTTTTTCTTTGTGAGGAATGCTGAAAAGTTCTTGTGCTGATCTAGTTTCCTAAATCTGACCAAATTTTAAAAAAACCTTGTTCATGACTAGAACTTTTCATCAACTGTGTGTGTGTGTGTGTGTGTGTGTGCGTGCTTTCTTTCTGCACCATTCAAAGATTTCTGTAGAACGGGAAAAATGTTGTCCCCTTCTAGATAACACTGTTCTCTTTCATGCACTAATTTAAATCTGTTCTTTCATTAAACATTGGCACAATATAGTCAACAAATATTTTTTAGATCACTTGTAAAACATTTTCTTTGATTAAAACAAAAATTAAAATCTATATCTTTTTCCTTAGATTCATAAAAATAAGAATCTTTTTTTCTTTTTTTTGCAAAACCATTTCCATTTAGATAAACTTATTTGATTATTTAAAAATTAAAGTTTTTATTTTCATTAGGGCTAACGCAATTGATTCAAATTAGTGTGTTACTAACAATGAAGCTATTGGTTTCATTTTTTTGGCATTCAACTCTAAGTTTGTACTTGAATTCTATACATTATAACAAAAAAAAAAACTTAAAGGAGGCTAAGACAATAATGTTAAATAGATTTTTATTTTCTTTAAATTTAAAGTTTTAAAACCAATGTGTAATTTAAAGGGAATGTTTCATTTTTTGTGCTTTTTTTTTTTTTTTTTTTTTTTTTTTTTTTAACATTTTTTACACTTTTTTTTTTACACTTTTTTTTACTTTACACTTTTTTTTTTACTTTTTTTTTTTTTTACACTTTTTTTTTTACTTTACACTTTTTTTATTTTTTTTTTTTTTTACACTTTTTTTACTTTTACACTTTTTGTATTCAAGAAAAAAGTGCAGTAATTGTTTTGAAAGCTTAAAAGAAGTAATACTGCAGTTATTGCTTATTTGTTGAAGGTACAGTTTTACTACTGCATATATAATCTATTTTATATTTTAATTTAGAATAAGAAACAAAACTCTTACTAATTTTTTTATGCCTTATGCTATTATTAAAGTTCTATGTAGCATTTTTTTCTTCCTTTTGAAATGACTAAATCAAATTTTAATATATTTGTAGTACAAAAATATGACACTATCAAAAATATTTTATTTCTGTATTGTGCTGATGTTAATACAGATTAATATTCCTTTTCATAATACATTTTGCTGCATGGCCAAATAATTCTTTAAGCATGCTTTTGTTTGGTTATCTTCAGAAAAAATCTTAGGAATTTTGAAGAAATATTGCATTCAGTCATCTAGTCTTCTTGCACTCTAAAATAATTATAAACTTACTACTGTTATTAAATTTAAAGATTTTCTTGTAAGTTTGTTGTATTTTTAAATACAAAATATCCAAATATATCTTCAGTATATCAAATAAGATATAATTAGGAATAGTTTTCAAATTTAATGTATATTTGCTTATCCTAAACAGTATTAACTTTCTTATTAAACCTTTTGTTTATGTAGAGTAGGGGAATTCTCTCTTGTTCTCAGGATAATAGTTTGTAGGTCTATTAATAGAAGTTATTTGTTAATAAGAAACTCATTGTTTGTTTAATCTGCTACATTTTCCTTCCAAAATTTACTAATTGATTAACTTACTATTTTTATCATATATATTCAAAACTTTAAAATTCTGAATGACATGAATAAATTAATTTTACTGATAGTGATGTCTCTATTGTTATCACAAAGAATAAATAGTAATCCTAAAATTTCAATTTTACATTAGTTTAAAATCTTAAAATCAAAAAATGGTTTATATATAAGAACAAGGATATTGTCTGAAAATATCTAAATATTGTATTTAAAATAATTATTGCATTGTTTGGTACTTAATTTAATCATGATCTTATTTCCTATTGACAAAATAATCTTTATTATTAAAGATCTATGAAAGTACTTTAAAAAAAACTTAATATTTGGTTTTACTGGAATGCTGTTTTGGTGGTTCAAAAAGTTTAAAAAATGATGTCATTATTTTTTATATTATTGAACATATTTTCATTTCCTTCCATCTTCTGCCATAATGCAAGCAAGTTCTTTTTAACCAAAGAACTACCCTAGGTGAGCCTTTTTAGAGTCTTGTAGCAAATTTAATTTTTTATGTTTTTACTTAATAAAATTCTTTTCTAAAGATTTGAATAAATGGCAGTCTGAAACAATATCTGTTGAATAAGAATGAGTGAAAACTTTCCAGCCAAGCTGTTAATTTTTTTTTGTTATTCACTAAAGCATGCAGTGTCATGTTACGCTGGTGCAACATTCCATCCTTTATATTAATTCTGAAAAATACTCTGTGGATAGTCTCAAATATACTGACTGTATCTCTTACATAGGGGTAAAATGACCCCCTGAAGAAACCACCTACTAAGTATATGCTTACAGACTCAAATATATATTTTTTTAAATTAGCATTAAATTAACCAACAATGGTTGACATGTAAAATCAACTAACCTTTTTATCATTTGCTACTTTCAGTTGGTTTAAATAGGAGCAGTACTTTTTTTCAACTAATAAATTCTCTGGAAGGTGCTTATATTGGATCCTCTACCAAACCAAATTTTTACAGAAGTTAATGGAAATCTTCCATTTCCAAACTGTTGTAAAGTGTCCATGTTACATTGTCCGTCAGAATGGGATTAAAAAATGGACCATTTTCATTACATTCAAAGAGTAAATTGTCCAAAAAGTTTTAGTAGGTTTCTTGCTTAATTTATATTGCTAACATAATCAAGCTACTACTAATGATTTTAAATATTTGATATGGACAATTTGAGTGTGTTGGCTGTCTTCATGTACTATATAATGTTGATTATTTTCAATTAGTCTTTTGATTATTGACAACTGGTATACCTAAATTGGAACATGAAATATTAGATCACTTTTGATGTGCTCATTCATTTGCATGACCTTTCCTATAACACAAATTTTACATTTGAGTCAGTTTTATTTTTCTCAATTAAAACAGTACCCAAAATATTGAATATTTTCTTCCATTTAATTCTAATATTTCAGATTAGAATTAATAAATAAAATTGTCAATTTTGCTTAATATCTTTTAGAAAACACACTGATTTAACAGCTGTCATAAAATCAAATACAATCCTTTTGGATGAAGTTAGTTAAAACTAGACACTTTCAATGCCATCTCATGATAAATAAATAAAAAATAGCTCATTATTCAAAATTATCATAATTTACCTAGGTACTTTTTCTTTTGTAAATTTTTGCAGAAATGAAAGGTAAGTCTGTTTATACATCTACAACTAACTGTTACTTATGATTTTTGTTGTTTTTTTTTTCCTTAGTTCTTTGACACTGATCAAGACTTTAAATTCATCTAATCTGTGTATTTTACTATAAAGACAATGTAGCAAATATTTTATATGGTTGATGTACTTTCTAGTTTTACATATAAATTTCAATAGGAATTTGTGACATAAAAGGCTTTTCCTTAAAACAATAATGAATAATAAATCAAAGTAAAAATAAAGTTTGAGAAATAAACACTCAACAAGGACCAAGCTGATGATTTAAAAGTAGATTTACTCAGGGTTACCAATATATTCCAGTAAGATCAACTAGTATCCATCACCCAGGTCTGTTTCCTCCCATTATTTTTTATAGATGACAAAATGGCCCTGTACTTGTTATTGTCAACTGTTTAATTACTTTAGAAGTTTTTGTATAGTTAGTCATTAAAAAATAATGCATAAAGGAACCTAAAATGCTATTTGTAAGATAAGAAAATGAAATTGATTTGGGAAATGGCTAATAAAAATATTTTGTATTACAAAGTTTATTCTGAAAAGTATGATTAATGACCACTGGTGACAATATATTTAGGATTGCAAGCAGGCTTTCCAGGTTTTCATGTATACACTTCATGCACTGGTAATATTTTGACAGAAATTGAACTTCCACCAGTATAGTAAACACACACTGGATTTAATGGAGATAATCTCCAACAGGCCCTGTTGATGTTTAATCCAATTCCTTCAGGGAGCATGAATACATTCCATCTTGTAAGCATTGAATCTTGTAGAATAGAATTTATTGATATGCCATTGTTAAAGCATTAATGAGAAACATTGGCAATTCTTTCCAGCTTCACTTCTTTGCATCATAAATTAGAGTTCTTCAGTAGTAACACTTTCTGACATTGTCCCAACAAATAAGACAAAAAGACCACCAGGTAAAGGGTTATGTGGTGGTTTACTAGCAACCGTGTATAAAGTGGTAGTGATATAAATTAATCTAGCAATATTTAAGTTATGGTTTTTAACAAACACAAAAACAATATTAAAACATTACAAAACATTCTAAATATTTTTGCTATAAATTGAAGTTTGAACATAATATTTAAAGAAACAGTAATTATTAAAAGCTTTAATTTTATTCACAAATATTCATCATTTTTAGCATGCAACAAGTGGGATTTTTATTTTTTGTTTAACTAAATATTTTATTAACTAAACTTTTTTTTTTACTAATTTTATAACCAAATTGTTAATGGAACAATTTTTGCTAAATGTTTTATAACTCTTAGGAGACAACAGGGCCAATCTATTAGCCAAAAAGTTGAATGACAAAGAAGATAACTGGGCTTATCCATCAGCGTGATAATACAAACCTTCAGGATTAGCTGGCTGGTCTTTGTACCAGCCAATTAGACTGCGTCTTGTATTTTTTGCACATCTGGGCCTTTCAATGATGGTCTCTGATAGTTTCGATGAATTTCTATGATTTTTAGATATATTTTTTGTTTGTGTGTGTTCCAAGTGCAGGTTTGTGAAAAGGACTCCGTTCTTGGTACTGAAACACCAAATGAGGCTCTGTCTCCAAAGGGTTAATGGATTTTATCTAACAGAATTTAGGCTTCTGTTTCATTCATTTTTCAGTTTTGTTTTTTTTTGTTTTTTTTGTTTTTAAGATTCTAAAACAAAAATCAGATGACCACATAAATAAAAATGTTTAAAAATATTGTTTACCTTTGCTGATATTTTGCTTCATTTGAAATTTTGCTTAAAACTATTTAAAGATTTATTTCGGCACATTTTCAGTTTAAAACATAACAGAAAAAAAGATTTTATCTGAAAAATGATTTTATTAAATTGGAATTGGTATAACATTTTCTCTTTGTTAAAATAAAATTTAGCTTTCTTTCTAATACAAAATTAATTTGATTTTAGACACAATTCCCATGTGACAATTGTAAAGTAAATATACAGATTTAATAAGAAATTATTGTGAAAATATTTTCGTATTTTTTATATTTGTAACTTTTATAATATTCAACTAATGGATTTTTTCCAATCTTTTTAAGTAGTGATTGAAACTTCTTTTTCTCTCTCTCTCCCACAAAAATGTTAAAAATAATATGCATAACATTTCAGGTTTATTCTCTATAATTTATATATTCTCTTTTTCTTTTCTTTTTTTTGTATGGATTTTGCTTTAGCAAGGTCTCTACAATGAGAAATTAAATAGTTTTGTAAGATAAATGTTACTTAGTTATATTTAATGTTATTAATTTTTTAGCAAATTTTCATTTTTTTCTTCAAGTATCAAATTCTCATTTAGTTTTACTACAAATTTAAAAAGCTGCACTTCAACTAAAGCTTGGACCTTTGAACAAAGGGCACTTGAAAAATTACAGACTTCATAAAATAAACCATGTCCATTTTTTTATTCTTTGTCTGTATACCCAAAACACATATTTAATGTATAGTATTGTTTGCCTTAATTTGATACTACTTATGAATATCAGAAAATTTAACTCAAAGGCATAACCAACTTTTAGTGCTTTTGTAATTTTCTTCACACTTTTTAGCTGGTTATATATTTGTAAATTAAGATTCTTATTTGTACTTTGGCTTATTACGGTTTATTAGATTTTAATTTTCTAGTATTTTCCAACTTTGGCTAAATGAAAGTATTTATTAAATAGCTGTGAAATATGCAATTTATAATACTTGTATAAAAACTAAAATTGCTTTGAATAGTTGTTATATACTAGGAAAAAACTGTCAAAGTGAAAAAGTTTTTAAGTGAGACATGTTTCATCCTTTAGGACTTAATCAGAATAAACTAATGTTTTACATTGATGTGACTGCACATGCACACAAAGAAGAGGAGACACTGACAATTTATACATGTCTGCCAATTTCTTGCCCTTTGTTTATATTTCCATCACTTTTGTTATTAAATATCACACATTGTGATGATAAAAGATCTACCAAGAAAGATGAAATGTTATAAGAACTTGGACTTGAATCATTTGATTTAGCCATTAAAGCATTTTCTATACATTTTTGTCTTAGTAAATTGCTTTCTCTTTTAATTAAAGTAGTATTTTTAAATCAAAATTATGGTCAGACTCCTTATACTGAGCAACTAATGCAATTTAGTGTTGTTTTGTAAAAATTCCTAATTATGTTCATATAATCTTTCGATCTAAATTCCTTGAAATTTCTCTTATGTATTTCTTGTGATAAAGCAAATTACTACAAGTTTTAGCTTATTTTGTTTGTATTAAGTCTTTTATTGTTTTAGAATTAGTAACAAATTTTATGTTAAGCTTAGCTAAATTCTTTTCACTTGTAGTTGTGATAGTTGGTGGCTAGTATACATAGAAGCTTCAAGGAATTTAAAAGATTATATAAAAACAAAAAATATCTTTTGCACTAAATGCATTAATTCTCACCATAATGAGTCTGACCATAATTTTGATTTAAAAAAAAATGATATTTTAATTAAAAGAGAAAGCTATTTACTAAGGTAAAAATGTATAGAAAGTATATATAGAAAGTGTTATGATTGCTAGATCATCCATAGTAAATTTATGTCTAGGCTTTTACATTTCACCTTTTACTTGCAGATTCTCACAATATGGGATACTTAATAACAAAAGGAATGGAAACATAAACAAAAAGAAACCCAAAACATATATTTAAAAAAAAAAAAAAATTAATTTAAAATTCTCAGCATCCCCTTTCCTCCATGCACATGTGTAGACACATCAAAATGTAAACACATCACTTTAGTTCGATGAAGCCTTAAAGGACAAAATTTGTCATACAAAAATATTTCCACTTTGTCTTAGTTTTTTCCTTAAAATTGTTTTTGATATATAAAAAAATTATATATTGTTTTTCCCATATATATATATATATATATATATATATATATATATATATATATATATATCTATTAATAAGCAGACAATATGGTTTGATATTTGTGACCATATTGTTTCTGTTCCCCAGTTATCAGTGGCAAAGGTGGTTATTTTCTGTTCAATTTTTGTTTATTAGTTTACTCTTCAGGTACATGGCTATCATGAGAGTGTGGCTATGTATTAAAGATATCTTTGTTTTCTGATGTCATCTGAATGCAAGCATTTCTTTGAAATGATAGCTATTCTTATTATATTTGTAAAATGAAGTGGCATTCAAAATATACATAGGTATCTTTCTGATTGTGATGACTTTTAAGCATGTTTTTTTATATATTGCTCTACCACAGCATTATCAAGTTTAAAAATGGCTCAAATGGAGATAAGAACTTTGTGTACACTGATATGCTAAAAGTCATGAGATAAATGCCTATTATTTTGTAGGACTCGCTCTAGCCTGGCAGAGAGCAACAATCTGACATGGTACCAATATTGTAAGTGGTTAGAAGACATTATCTGTCCACAGATCATTGATATTTCTAGGCACAGGATCTTACATGCCAATAAAGTTTTCTACCACACCCTATAAATGCTCAGTTGGTAAAAAAAAAAAAAAAAAAAAGTTGATAGCTAAATCATTTGTTGGAAGTTTCCATAACGATCTTCAATTCCAAACAACTTGGGCAACCAATGACATGGTACATTATCCTGTTGGGGCACTTGAAGTCTATGAATGGGTACAGATTGTGATGAAGCAGTGCAACATAGGGGTCACTAAACTGTGATATGTTTGTATTAGTACATCCAAATTATGCTTCATGAACAGACGTCACACTATTGGAACCATCATCAGACTAAGGTCTATAGCCTCATAGTGTGTACCATACATAAACCCTACTGTCAGTCCAAAACAACTGGAGCCATGATTCATCAGACCATACAACATTTTGCCAGTCCTCCAGGGACCTACTAAATGTGTTATTGCCTGTATTTAATCCAGATGTGCTTTGAGCCAGTGTTATTTATCTGTTAATGCAGAAAATTTTAACCAGATGCATCTGGCCGCAATCATAAAAAGACTTGTGGTTAGCTACTGTACTGTCCATGGTGGGTAATAATGCTTTCCATAATTCCTATTACACATGACACCACAGATTGAGAGATGTCAAATATCACCACAATTTCAGAAATGGAATATCCAATTCTTGATTGAACTGCAATTTTATCATGAAGTAGTCTATAGCCAGTGTTCATCCTAACTCGCCAAATGTCTGATCACAGTTGATATATAGGTTTGGCTATTACATGCCTGCTCACACATAACTTTTGGCATGTCAGTGTATAATTACTGAAAATAATGTCTCTATGTCTACATATATATATATATATAGCTCAGTTTTTGAACAAAGCTGATTTAACTTTGAATTCTAGAAGGTGGTAATTGTAAAGAGAATTTCCTCAAAAGTGAATATTATTCTTTTGTAGAATTTATTACTTGTAAATTCTGCAATTTCCATGAAGTTTAAACAACAAATTATGTTCAAAGATCACTTATTGAAAAATACTACAAACATTTGTTCCAATTTAATATTCCCATGTTTATTGCCATCACACTGATATTATTTACATACAGAAAGGATGAAATCAACTGTAAAAAAAAAATATTGTAGTTAATCCACATTTGAGTAATAAACAAAAAATGTAATTTAATTTGTCAATTCTAATGCAAGATTTCCTTATAACAGCTTTGAATGCTTTAATGTAATTTAACATTTTTCTTAACATTGCATAGTTTCTTATGCAAATCTTTTTTTTATCAAGACTAAAATTTTTACCCCTTTTATAATAAACTATATTAAATCATGAACAATATAAAACATGAATCTTAATTTTTAATGCTTTTAATTAGAAAAATTAATCTGATAAAATGTACAGATAATCAGAAAATTTTTTTAGGAATTGACTAACTTTACATAATGTATAACTTTGTAGTAACTAACCAGTTTTGCTAACATTAAACTATTTAAAATTTTGTATATAAAAATATCTAATTATTGAAACGAATAATGTTTATTAAAATGATGTATTAAAATCTGTACATTTTACTTCTTTTTTTTTTCTTTTTTTTAAAATTTAACTGAATATATTGATACAACTTTCTTTAGCCCAACTGTAACTACAACCCTAAAAAACTTAGGGGCACTTTACCGAAGACAAGGAAAATATGAAGCTGCAGAAACACTAGAGGAGTGTGCTCTAAGATCAAGAAAAAATGTAAGTTAAAATGCTTTCTATAAATTAGAACTCTTCATATGTATGAATGCATGCTTTTATCTTTTTCTTATTTTTCTTTGTGATTTTAAAATTTACATAAATATAAAATTCAAACTTTTTTGTTTAAATTTTGTACATTTAAATAAACATTTTAGATTTTTGTAAATAATATTTTTAACATTTTCTTTTTATCAGTTTATGAAAGAATTACTTTTAAGCCTGCATTTTGCTCTTTTGCATGCAATGCTTTTTGCATTTTAATCTCTACAATTGTTTCTTATTAAGTGGTATAAAACACTTTCAAAAATGTTGATTTGATTTTTTTCTCTTTTACTAGAAATGTCTAAAACAAAATATAATTTAACAATACAAACTCAAGTGTTTGTATGTGTTTATAGATTGTGTGTGTGTTTCTCTCTTGCATATTCAGAAAATTAAATCTAATGCTGATTTATAAATTATTTTAAGCATTTCAATATAAAACAGTTTTTTCTAAATTAAAATATTTACAAGGTTGCCTTTTATCATTTGCTTTCATAAATATACAGGTTTACTGCTTGAATTTTATTTCAGTTGCTTGTTTAAAAAATTTTCATTCTATTTTTTCTATATTTGAAATTATCACTGCAGCCTTACACATTGTATATGAGATTCTAACCTTTTGGATGAAAGACATTAAAAATCTATTTTAACATATTCTTTTAACTTTTTTTTTTTTTATTTTTTTTTTAAGATATGAAATTTTGAAAATGCATGGATATAATAGATTTAATATTTCTATTTTTCATTTGATTTTAAAATTTCTCACTGTATAATTTAATTCATCTGTGTCAAGATTTCCTTTGCACTTTAATATTAATTTCATGTAATCACAAAATGTTTAGATGCATGGTTTATACATCAGAAATAAGTAGTAATCTTATATAAAGTTAAGAGAAATCTTTTTTGTTCATGTTAAATCTTTATAAAAATTAAATAAAAAAAAAACTTGCCAGATTCTAATAACTTCAGCTTTTTTTTTTTCTATTTTGAGAATATTATGAAGTATCTTTAAAGACATTGATATATCATGAAAGTTTATGGTATTTTCCTTATTATAGACATCTTGATAATTTCATGACTTAATTGTAAATGTAATACTTGGCATATTCTGATGTGAAACCTTGTTCTTGTGGTAAATACTTTTTTTTTTCTCTTCAATCTGTCCATTCCTTCCTTTTCTCTTGCTTCTATCATTTTATCTCTATTATTACTACATTTAAACTCTGAATTCAGCCATACTCATTATTCATGTAACATTCTTATAAAATGATGTAGATTATTCAGTTTTATTTTTGTATTTTTCCATAAGTTTAACCAATTTTTTTCTTTTTATTTCTTAATCCTAAAACTTAAAAGTGGATTCTATCATTTTTAAATGATGTTTAATGCGAGTTTGTTCAGACATCAGGCCCAGTTTTACTGCATTTCTGCCTGTCCAACTTGTCCACTTTTCTCTTCAAGATTAGGTAACCTCATTAAACATTTCATAGATGAATAAGCTTTTATTTTGAGGGGGGGGGCTAAAAAGCAAAGGGGTGCAAAGAAAATCCCACTTTTTACACCTTAGGATGTTTTCTGATGTTCATGCATAATTTTGTTTTTGTAATTTAAAAAGAAAAAAAAACAACAAACACACAAAATGGTAAATATTTGTGAAGCTGAAATTTTTGTTGTTGGGGATTAGATGATGCCAAAGAAGCATGCGTGCACTTCTTTCATTCCTATGTTATTCTTTGATAGCTCCACCTTTAACCCCTATTTACCATTTTGATTTTAAATAACTATATACCTACATTTTATTTCTATGCTACTTTAATTGCACTATTTTTTTTAGTTTGGCCTCAAATTGACTCAGTTCTGCTGGGAATCAGCTTCATTTTTTTTTTTCTTCTTTTTTTTCTTTTTTTTTTTATATAAATATCTTGGTGTTTCTTTGGTTTCCTGTTAGGCTCTGGAAGTAGTCAGGCAGACCAAAATTTCTGATGTTCTAGGCAGTGAATATTCTAAGGGCCAATCCCCAAAAGACAGGAAACGTTCTAACAGCAGAGATCGCAATCGTCGAGACTCAATGGATAGTGTCTCATATGAGAAAAGTGGTGATGGTGATGAAGTGAGTATCACTATGCGTTGGTCAGGGGATGGGGTGAGTATGAGTACAGAAAGTGGGAGACATTCCAACATTACAAGCTGCAAGTGAATGATGCATTGTCTTGAAACAAAACAAGTTATCATCCTTGGACATGTCTTTATGAGTGATTTCTCTCTCTCTCTCTCTATCTCTTTCTCTCTCTCTCCTTTGGTTATTTTGTTAAATTGTTGTTACCCCAAAAAAAACAAAAAAAACAATCTTTTGGCAAATCTAATTAAAATTTTATAAAAATAGTGGAGAATGTTTATCTATTTAAAAAAAAAAAAAGTTTTGGCTTGTGTTTATGATGCTTTTTTGTTTTTTTTAATGGAATGCTTTACACCCATATGTATATCCTGATTCTACATACATACACACTCACAGCATTTTTGTATTATTAAAAACTTATCACATTCTTTAGAAACTTGTTGGAATGGATCCCTTCTATTTTTCTCCTTGTCTTTAGTGATTACTGGTGGCAGAGCTTCTTATGCTAAATAGTTTGTGGATAAACAGGCAAGGGAACAGTGTTGCTTTATTTTCTTCAACTAATTTGCTTTTAAATAAATCCCACACCTTACAATTTTTGTCCTAACTTGCAAATTTCTGCTTCCCATCACATTTATTTTTGTATTTATCCACTAGCTAATAGTAATATTTTTCCCTCTAACTTTTCCCCACTTCAGTTTGGTGTTTGGTATGCAATCTAACTTTTTAATATTAGTGGTACACTAAAATGTTCCAGTCTCACACCTACTCTTAATCCAAATGAATTTGCGAACATCAGTTAAAAACTTTTCATGTTGCTGTATGCCTGCTTCTTCCTATAACCATCTCTATTTTCAAAGTCTCATCTGGGTTTGAGTAAATGGTCTCTCTCTCTCTCTCTCTCTCTCACTGATGCTCTGGAAATCACTGAAGACTCTGTACTCGTATTCAACATTTTATGTGGGTGGGATTTTTTTCTTTTCATCTTTTCTGCATGGACCCTTCCAAAAGAAATGTCATAATAGATTGTTTATTTATGCATGAATATATTTAAATGAAAAAGACATGTTGCTGGCAACTCTCACAGAACTGTCTAAGAGGTGTTTGACCATTGGTTGATGCATTAAATGTTTTTTGCAAAATATTTTTATTACATTGCAATAAACATTTTTCAGGTTTATAATATTGCGAATTACCTCTTTAAAATTGTAATGCTTGAAAAATATTACTAAAAAAAAATTAGCCTTGGAATTGTTACAAAGGACAAGCAGTCAAGTTTTCCACTTTTTTTTTTTTTTTTTTTTTTCTTTAAACTGCTGCTTACTAGGTCACTAGGAATTAATGAACTTATTCGTTTTTTTTATGACTTTGAATCATCATAACATACTTGTGGAGTGTCTGACAAATGCTGTGCCAGTAACTTATTGTTTTTGTTTTATTTTTTCTTCAGTAGTTGAAAAAAAAAAAAAATGAGAACCATAAAGGATTTTTTTTGTTCATGATTCATAGGCATTATTCTAGCAGAGAAAGGCTCTTTGCTTGAGCTTCTTTTCTTAGAAATCTGCTTGGTCATATTTGTACATTATTTACATTCATATACAATGTGTGCGTGCGTGTTATTAAAATGAAGCAAACCATTTGTTGCTGAATTCACAACGGCTTTTTGCAAATGCTACCAGTTTTATAGCTTCTTTAACCGTTATTGCATGCATGGTTTGCCACTTCTAGACCTGTCTTTGAGTTGCCAGCAATAGTAAATTGTTTTGTTTACTTTCTATGTAGAAGGATAAGATATTTAGGATTTGTTTATTGAAGCTAGAATATCATTCAAAGCCAATTAGAAATATACAATTTTTGACTAGATCATGTTTTTAATGCTTAGGGAATATAATTTACATCATTACAATTCAAATTGTAATTTTACTTTCTATTTATTAAAAATGAATAAATTTTTATTCTCAACTTTATTCAAAATGCTAGGAATTAATATGAATCTTTGAGCTGTGGTTCAAATACATTTGATTTTGCTTTTAAACGTTACAATTTACAAATATCTTGTGTATTTTAAGACCTGAGTGACAATAATAATCCCAAATAAATTGAAAAATATAACCTTTTTATATTAATCATATTTATTCATTTACTACATGTATTTTCTCTTTCATTAAAATGAAAGATTGTTGTAGAATTAAAACTGATCCATTGTTAAACTCTGATGGATCTGAATCATAATTTGATGACTCTTTTTGCAGTTATAATATGACTTTGAAAAATAATATTTTGTTTTTATATAAACTGTTCTTTATTCTTAGCTAAGTTATTTATATATATATATATATATATATATATATATATATATATATATATATATAAAATATGGATTATGTAATGAATGTAGTTATCAAATTTAAGTTGTTTTTTGCTAGAAAATAAACTTTTCTTCAGAATTTTCAAATTACGGTCTGACATTTAAGTACTTTCAATTGTAAATAGTTTCAGTCTAAGGTATAAAAAGAAAAGGCTAATTACTAAAACTATTCCTAAAGTAAAAGTATTTGTAATAGCATTTTCTTAGTATTGCTAATTAATTTATTCAAAATTTAATAAAATTGTATAATTTCCATATGTATTTTTAAGATAATTAGCATGTTGTTTTGTTTTTTGTTGTTTTTTTTTTTTTTTTTTTTTTTTTGCATGTTATTAAATGTTAAATGCGTTTCCTTAAGCTATAAACTGACAGTGATAGAATTCTTGACTCACTGGGTAATTATGAATTTAATACATCTTAGCTTTATTTCTGTTTTAAGATATAATTGCATCCTATCTATTTTTACCATTTCTGAATGTTTAAAACTGTTTTACCACCACCCCATGTCAGTGTATAGAAAATCTTTGAATATTCACTCCAAATATCCTTAACTTCTTCCTTCAAGTAAATGCTACCAGGAAAATGATTTTCCCCATTATGCCTCCTATATTGCTAATAATTTTAGTCTCTTACCGAATTTCATAAAATCTATAAAAGTATTAAACCCTTTTTATAAATTTGTTCATATACATCCATTGCCTGCTCCACAGCTCATAATTTATATTATATAGAAGTTCTGCCCTAGATTAGCTATTCTGATTTAATCCATATCCATTATTGTAACCATTTTTTGTGATGCAATTTTCTTATCTATTATTTCTGTTTTATGCTATTATTGGCAACTTGTTAAAGCATGAACTTGTGCCTTCTATTGAATTTTTTTCCAATGTTTTCTTTGCATGATTTTGATTTTGTGTTTAAGTGGTTAGAGGGGATAAATGTTAACATTTTATATAATATTCAGTTAAAGATAAGTTCCCCCCTCACACACAGAAAGTATTGTATGTACACATACATTTGTTTGTGTGCGTGTGTGTGCGCGCCTGTGTGTATGTGTGTGTAATTATTAAAGAAAATATTTTTAAAAGCCAGCTTGTAAAAGCTTATCTTTTTTTAACTAACTCTGCTTGCACACTGTTTCATCTTATTTTTTTAGTGTCTGTGTGTCACAGCCAAAAGCACTAAGCATTTTTGATACATACACATCAGTCAGTCTGTCCATTATTCATCTGCCATATCAATTATATATTTACATATCAGTTTATTTTATTATGTGTATGTATACACTCATATATATATATATATATATATATATATATATATGTGTGTATATATGTGTGTATATAATAAATATATATTGCTGCTGCAACTGCTATAACTATTATTACAATTGTTATACTGTTGTTAACATCATTGTTTTGTCATCGTCAACATATTCATTGCCGTGTCCCCTCTTACCACTCTCGGCATGTCCCTCCTTGAATATGGCTCCTCACACATTTAAATTAACCTCATCAGAATGGGAAACTTAAACGCAGTGGCTCATTTTCCAAACTGAGAGCTTCCATAAGACGTAGCAGTGCTAAACTGGTCCAGAAACTGAAGGGCAGAGGATATGGAGATTCTGACACCCCTGGCAGGTAAGGATGAGTCTTCTAGTAGCTTGCTGCTGCTGCTGCTGCTGCTCTGATTATTGCAACTGGTTATTTAATTTTTTTTTAAACAAAAGCTCTGTGTGATTGTGTGTGTGTGTGTGTGCGTGTGTGTGTGTGTGTGCTCACATACATGTACAGATTTGTATATTAGCTTGCCTTATATTTATGGCATTAATACAAAAAGAGAGCTTAATTGGTTTAGTCACTTTGTTTTTATATTCTTTTTAAAGCTGAATTTCATACTTTGAAGCAAAATTGATACCTTTCATGTTTGACCAATTCAATTGGTTTCTAATGACAGCCAATTAAAAAAAAATCTATTTCCATTTTTGGAATATAGGTAAAGCCCAATTTTTGCTTGGATACATGAATATTTGTTCACTGCATATATTAAAAGTATTTTTTTATATAGGCTGATGATTTAATTTTTTTTTTATAATGGAGGCTAATCATTTATGATAAAATATATCAAGGCTATAGAATTTATAATTTGTTTCAGATGTCATTTTCAGCTTCAATTTATAGTCTTCAACTTTTGCCAGTTGCAGAAAATAAATAATAAAAAGTGCATTAAAACAAAAATATTTCAAAAAGAGATATATATATATATATATATATATATATATATATATATATATATATATATATACACACACAAAGAGTTCCAGTAGGAATAAATATCAATCAATCACATTTGTACATTTGACTGGAGATTTTATTTCATTTTTTTTTTAAGAATTTCTCCTTTGAAATAAAGACTTTTATAAATTTGTAATTTTTAATAACATAAGCTTATAAATATAATATAACATTTTACATATTGATTTACTTACAAAATGCTTGCATATTTATGTTCTACTGTTTTATATGGCTGTAATTGCTGACTTTTAAAACATTTATTACAAAATCTATATAATTTTGTCCTGTATTTACATGTCAAGTGACTTGGAATTAACTGTTTTTATTTTCTCTATTACATATATGTATAATATGTACCCTATTACATATGGAAACTTTGCATTAAATACTTAGGTGCAAGAGAAAACTAACAATAAATCTTAATTTATCATTCTTGCCCTCTCTTACTCTTGCCCATTTTTAAAACATATAATAATTCATTTTTCAAACTTCTTGAAAGCAATAAAGATTTTCAAGAGATTAGTGTAATAGCTAGTAATTACTGTTTTTCCCACAATTTATCAAATTATTTTTAATAATAATGGGCATTTTACTAGTATAAAGATTTTTTCCTCATTTTTAGTAAAATTTCATACTGTTTTTTTTTTTTTTTTACTTAGACTTTAGATATGAAAACTATTATAGAGTAATAATTTATTAATTCTGAGCAAAAATGATACTTTCAAGAAATCATGGGATAATTCATAAGTAGTAAATTTGCTTATGTATTTATAGTTACTTGGTATTAATGCCACCTGAAATTGGTTTGGAGCAAAAACAATATTAGTAACAATTCATGTTAAGCGATTTCCTTAAAGACTTAGTACATTTTTACCATTAAAATAATCATCTCTTAACTCAAATAACAGTTGACTATTTTAAATTAAATTTATGCAGTGACAAATGTGAATGCATATTTTTTTAAGGAATTTTTTTTCTAGATAATAGAAATATTTTTGTATTTAATCAACTTAAAAAGATGATTAAATTTAGAATCCAACTAAATCAAAACGTGTGCACACACACACACACACTATTGAAAGTGAGTATTTTTTTTGTGTATTGATTTGGGGGATAAGGAAACACGAGTTACAATTTGCTTTTATTTCTCTTGTGCTTAATTTTTAAGAATTTTTTTTATTGTACATGTGTGGGTGGCTGTATGCAAATTCTACCATACCAAATTCATGACTTGTAAAAACTAAATCTGAGTGCAGTTGACTTTATTTTTTTTTCATAGAAATATTTTTATTTTTAACATCATTAATGTTTTATGTAAGGAGGTGCTGAAAAGTTTTCACTCCAACATTTTCCCCTAAAATTTGACCAAGAATCTCTATCCTCCTCTTCCTCCTCCTCTCTCTCTCTCTCTAGAGTGGGGGTTACTTGGTCATATGCCGATAACTTTTCAGTATCCCCCTTCATACAATAGCATAAGATTAATATCTTAAATCATAAAATTACTCTTATTTTTATATTTTGCTTATTTTGTAAATATAGATAATTTTTAGAGTTGAGTCATTTTATTTAACATTAATGATTTTTAAGTATTTTGTATTTAAGAAATTTTTTCTGTGAATATTTTTTGTAGAAACATTTCAAATACTCAACAAAATCTTAACAAGATTGGATAAAATAACATTAATTTTACTAAAACTTGAAAAAAATGGAAAAAAAGTTTCTTTTAATGCCTTTTGCATTATATCCAAGTTATCAAAACTAACTTTTTTTGTTTATAATAAACATTATACACTTATTGTTTTTAATGAATATGTATTGTAAAAGAAAAATTAAGCCTTTCTCAATATTCTTGGAGATGGGAAAACAGTAGTCGCTGGAAATAAGAAAATTCTTTTGGGAATTTTAATCTTCTCAGTTTCTTAAACTAGAAAGTTAAAAAATATATTTTGTTTGACAAGCTTGTTAATTTTTGAAAGTGCAAATAAGTTTGTAAAAAAATTCCTATTCTTAGGATAAAATTAAATCCAATTGGATTTTTAAATATAGCAAATTAAGACATTTAAAAGATTTGAATAGTTCCCTTTCATTAAGTTTTTATGGCAAACAACCTCAGAAGTGACTTTAAGATGAATTAATTTCATTAATAGAAGATAGTTTTTTTTTTTTTGCTTTTTTTCTTTTAATGGTCAAAAGATAAATTTTCTCAGAAAATATAGGAAAGTTGTTGTTCCTTCAGTTTAGAAAGTTAGAGATAATAAAGCGGTTTGTGTTCTTTTTCTGTGGTCATGTTGACTGCACTTAAGTTTAAGTTAATGAAAATACACAACCTAAATTTATATCCATGCTATATTTAGACTAGTTTTTAACAATATCTTACTAATTGTTGTTCCTTTCTTGTTTAATCCAGCAATTTGGACTATGTCCCTTATGCTCCAAGGTGAGGAGGATGAAAGATATGATTTAAAAAAAAAAAAAAAAAAAAAAAAATGCTATCCTGTTGATAGTTGCCGAGTTTGCTAACCAACCCTGGCTCAATCACTTCAACCTTTCCACCTGTCCCTTTGATCCTTTTTTGCTATTTCTCCACTATTTGTTGCAAACTCTCTAAACAGGTCAATCTACCTAAGTTGGGTTCTGTGGACACAGTTACCTCATGACTCAGCTATTTGTTCATTCTGCACTCATTTACCTCCCCTCTTTTTTCTCTTCTCCAATAGCCCAACTGTTCAGAATTTTTTCTTTTCCTTTTGCTTTTCATGTAAATTAAACTATTAAATTCTATTTTTTTATTATACATTAATTTTTGTCAAGTTTTGTTACACAGTAGTAGTACTCTAAATGCTGTATTTCAAAACAAATATAGAGACAAATCAGGACAAAATTGATTATCAAAAAACTTTTATTGCACTCCAACTTTATCAAAGTTAATTTTACCTTTTTTTTTCTCTTTTACTTCTCTTACTTTTACAAAGTAAAATAAATGCTGTACGACATAAATATGCAAGTCATATGAATTTTTTTTTCTCTTTTTTGGGAAAGTGGGAACAAAATAATCATCTTATTCTGTTTGTACATTAAATGAGGAATACATCCTGCTGTTTGGGAAACTCCAGGATATTACATAACACTAATCAGGGTCAGAGGGTTTATTGGGTCCTCTGACCCTGTTGAGCATTGTTACATGGAATTCTGGTGTTGGTCAATAAATTAAGTCCTTTGATAATTTATAAATTGTCACTGTAGTTATTTTTTTAACACATTTTAACAAAAATTTCTGCTGGCTTCAAATTCTTATGTGTTTTAAGAGTTAGGCCAAGATACTGATGTTGAGTTTGTGAAAAAGAAAAATAATAACAAAAGTAATAAAGCTGGAAATAAAACATTCAGTTTCAATAATTGCAAAATGCACCCATTTTGTTCAAAATCCTGATTGATAAATGAATAGATGGAGAAAATCCTTTTAGGATGTGGCATAAGTTAATTGAATAATTACTTCTATTATTTACATTTCTTTATTTTTAATGTTATTGTTAGACATGAATTATGACTGTGGAACTGTGTATTAAACAATTAAGTCAAATTTCTTTCAAACTATTTCAATAAAACATGAAATGTTAAGCTCGAATTATTCAAGTTACAAGAAAATACTTTTTATAAGTATTTAAAATGTTTTTAACTTCGTATAAGACACACTATTTACACTATTCACACAATTTACATATAAATGTATATTTAATTTTCTCTTTCATTAATTAATGTCCATATAAACTTTTGATAACATTGAGTAACAAGAATGTATACAAAAAATAAAGGCACATTAAGTATTTTTTTTATTTATGGAAATGTTAAATAATATATATTAACAACTTGATGAAATATACCATAATTGTTTTGTTTGTTTTTTGTTTTGTTTTTTTGGTTTTTTGTTTGTTTTTTTTTTGTTGGGGGGGGGTCCTTTTTTTTTCCAATGCCATTTTCACTACATTTACACATTGCACATTACTGCTTTTTATTACATAGTAATTTGGATTTGGTATGGTAACTATTCTAATTTTTGTGGAACCAATCTCCATATTCAATTTATGAACATGGGGTATGGAATTTTACTGGGGGTGGGAGTATATTTGTTTTTGTATGTTAGCTACAGCAGCAGCAGCAGCAGCATGCCTAGCTCTGGTTGGTCAACAGCAAGGATTCTACTGACTAACCAAAAACTGCCAAATTGTGTCATTATTAAACTCAAAAGCATTGGAGTTTAGATTTTGAATATAAAATTTTAATTCAAAACATTTTATAAAAAAAAAAAATTTAAACTAAAAACTTTTTCTTGGTTTTAATCTTTCTGA